TATATACTCTCCGAAAGATATTAATAAAACATGACATCATACTATTTTTAGATACCACGTAAACGATAAATATAGTAAAGTTATGACTCAGCAAAATTACGTAATGTCTTAATTAAATTAAAATTGTTCAAGACGTGACTGACTTCACGTCACACTGTGTTGCTATTGTTTCTGCTATTGTTGTTGCTGCTGTGTTGCTGCTGTTGTTGTTGCTGCTGCTCTTGTTTCTGCTATTGTTCTTGCTGCTGTGTTGCTGTTGTTGTTGTTGCTGCTGCTCTTGTTTCTGCTATTGTTGTTGCTGCTGTGTTGCTGTTGTTGCTGCTGCTCTTGTTTCTGCTATTGTTCTTGCTGCTGTGTTGCTATTGTTTCTGCTATTGTTGTTGCTGCTGTGTTGTTGTTGTTGTTGTTGCTGCTACTGCTGCTTTTGTTGCTACTGCTCTTGTTCCTGCTATTGTTGTTGCTGCTGTGTTGCTGTTGTTGTTGTTGCTGCTGTTGTTACTGCTGTTATTGCTGCTGTTGTTGCTGTTGTTGCTGCTGCTGTTGTTGTCGCTGCTGCTGTTGTTGTTGCTGTTGTTGTTGCTGCTGTTGTTGTCGCTGTTGTTGTTGCTGCTGCTGTTGTTGTTGCTGCTGCTGTTGTTGTTTCTGCTGCTGTTGTTTCTGCTGCTGTTGTTTCTGCTGCTGTTGTTTCTGCTGCTGTTGTTTCTGCTGCTGTTGTTTCTGCTGCTGTTGTTTCTGCTATTATTGTTGTTGCTGCTGCTGTTGTTGCTGTTGTTGTTGCTGCTGTTGTTGTGGTTGTTGTTGTTGTTCTTGTTGTTGTTCTTGTTGATGTTCTTGTTCTTGTTGTTGTTCTTGTTGTTCGTCTTGGAAAGGGGAATTCTTCCACTATTTGTAAACGGAACATGGAATTATTTGTTAACTGCTCAATTGTTTCAACAGCCGTTCCGCACGTTGTAACCAATAATCTCAATATTGGCGTTGTATGCAATAAAGTATTACGTTGTAATGGATCTACGATTAATCCAAACGTTAATCCGAATCCAAATCCTAACCTCTAACCCCTAACCTCCAACCCCTAACCTCCAACCCCTAACCCGGTGGCCTGCTTTTCCCTCCGGGAATTTGCCCTTCCGCCTCCCCTCCATCCTTCAAGCTAAGCCAATTACATTTATAACTAAAACTTTTGTCTAATACGGAATTTTTTGTCTAATACGGAATTCTTGTGTTAAAAACAATATTTTACTCACTCGCTGCGCTCGTTCGTAAATATTCTACTCACTCGCTGCGCTCGTTCGCGCCGCCGTGTAATATCCTCTATCTATGCTGTTACAATTGAATATGGAATTTAATGTATTTTAACAACGCCAATATTTGCATGAATATATGTGGAATTTTTTAGTCCCGGAAATAAGGAATATTCATAACCTCCAAAATTCTGCCTCGTCCCTCAAAACTGCACCTTTCATGGTTATTATGTTGCACCCTCCACACCTCCGCGCCTTATCAGTCCACCCCTTTTTGACCCCCCCCCCCCAAATGTATGTGTTTCAGTTGTTCACCACTGCCTAGGGACAAAGAGAGAGAAGTCAATTAGCCTTTCTCACGAAGGTCAACACCGCCATATTTGAAAGTCAACACCGCCCTCGTGAAAGATTCTAGACAAATCAAACAACGTGAAAAGCGACTTTTAAAAATTGTAACTCTAAATTTACCATTATATATTAAACAACTACAATACTAAGCAGTTGCATTTCGTGGTGCGGAGACTCTCAAACAAAGAGGCAGTCCCGAAAAAATGGCGGGGAAAATCGGCCGTGAGAAAGGAAACTCTCCATGGAGGGCAAAGGCTGTAGGGCAGTAGAAGACACTCTCATTTGCCCGTTTTTTTGTTCTAAGAACTAAAAAGTAGGCTTAGATGTGCCGGATCTGGATACCGGTATCCCGCGAAATATAGATATCCTGCTCAATCTGGTATCCCATAAAAATTTGCCGGATATTTACTGGATAGTACTGCAACTTTTATTGTGACCACAAAACCGTCTGTTTTGCGTTGAGATATTGTGAAACAGAAACAATTAGTCTACCGGACATGGGACACATTAAACAATTACTCTTTAGACAATTAGTCTACTGGACACATTTTTTGTGATGTAAACTGCTTTCTGCTGCATATTGTCTGACGATCCTTGTGCGGCCACATACTAAACAGACAATGGACTATTTTATGACGAAAAATTAGTGACGTATCATCCAAGCACCACCATTAGTATTCGGCATCCGGTTATTATCCAGTACACTACTATCCAGTACCATCCTGTATCCGGCAAAGCAGTATCTGCATGGCACATTCCTATACTCAAGAGGAACATCAGGAACTACAATTGCAATAGCTATACAATGAGAACATACCACATTGTCTGGCAATTTTACACCAGGCATATATTTAGGATTTTCGTGATCTGTATTTATTATCTCAGACAACTTGCGACCATCAACCATCTCTTCATACACATACATAGTAACAGGTGGCATGAACTTCTCGGGTTTCTGAACGACGTTTTCACCAGCAACTTTTGCTATAGCAGAACCCCTACACATATAAATGAGGTAGGTTAGATGGTTAGTTGACAGTTTTACCATCAATGTGGTTGATTCCTGCGTGCACAGGGCCGACAACCAAGGCTGGAATTTTATCGCAGCACTCGCATGCATAATGACCTTATGCATAATGACGTCATCAGGCCTGATGCTCGCGAGGAATGCTGATATTAGTAATCATCGCCCGGGAAAATTTAGATAGTGGCCAATTTGATGACTACTAAGACCAGCATTCCTCGCGGGTATCAAGCCTTGTGACGTCATTATGCATAAGGTTTATTGCCGTAGTTTGAGATGACAACAAGTGGCCTGAAGACCTGATATCAAGCTACAATCATGGCAGTTTTAGCCGTAGTGTAAATTTTTAACGAGCTGGTATTATTAGAAATCTGCAAAATTTTTGAGAAATTTCTTTTTCCAATTTACTCCCCTCTTTCAAAAATATATTGTAGAATTTTACATATTGGAATAATATGAGAAACAACAAAACATCTACTAATATTTTAATGCTACATTAATGACATTTTTTCAGCAAAAAAAAGCAACTAATTAAACCCTGGATTACTGACGCAATATTAAAATCCATAAAAACTAAACAAAAAATGTATAGTACCCACTTTCATAGCAACAATATAGAAAAAGTAAATCAATATAAAAGATATTCAAACAACTAAATAAAATAAAACTTGAGAGCAAAAATTACTACTATAACACACAATTTGCGAAGTGTAAAAATAATTTGAAAGCTACTTGGAAACTAATTGGGTCAATTATCAAACGTAAAACAAAAGGACAAATACATCCCACAAAAATTACAATCAATAATATAAAGATATATATATACAACTAAACAAGATATTGTTAATCAGTTCAATCAATATTCTATTAATGTAGGCCCAAATCTTGCAAATTCAATCATGACTTCTAACCTTCAACCAATAAGTTACATTAGTAATGCAGCAGTGCCTAGTTTTTTTATGTCCCCAATTACAGAGACTCAAGTACTCAATCTTTTCTTAGGCCTAGATAGTAATAAAGTATATATTGATATACCTAATAATATGATAAAAATAGCAGCATATGAACTTTCGCCAATCTTTACCAATATTTTCAATGAATCCATTTCCACAGGCGTTGTTCCTGACATCTTAAAAAATTTCTAGAACTACGCCTATCTATAAAAGTGGTGACACAAATGAGCCACAAAATTATCGACCAATATCTATACTATCCGTTTTTTCAAAAGTCTTAGAACGATTAGTATATAACCAATTGGATAATTTTCTTGAAAAGTACAATATAATGTACAATTATCAATGTGGATTCAGGAAAAAGCATTCAACAGCCCAAGCAATTCTCGAACTTACTGATAAACTAAAATCTGCGATAGATAATAAACAACTAACGTGCGGTCTATTTTTAGATTTTTCAAAAGCCTTTGATACCGTTAATCACAAAATCCTTTTAGAAAAGTTGCAAAAATATGGAATACGAGGTGTTCCACTCCAATGGTTTACAAGTTATCTAACTAATCGCCAACAATACGTTAGGATAGATAACACAGACTCTGAAATGTTAAGAATGACTTGTGGAGTTCCACAAGGATCAACACTTGGACCGTTATTGTTTTTGCTGTATATAAATGATATGCCTAACTGTTCAAAAAAGCTATCCTTCCGAATACTTGCTGATGACACAAATGTTTTTTACTCAGGTAAATCAGTTAGTGAAATTGAAATAGTAATGAATGAGGAAATTAAAAAAATTGATAACTATTGTGCTACAAACAAACTACCAATAAACTTTAAAAAAACGAACTTTATGATTATTGGCTCAAAACAGAAAAAGATTGGTAAAATCCAAATTGGAAACATAGAACAAACACAATACATAAAATACTTAGGTATGTACATTGACAAACACATCACTTGGGAACAACAAATCAAACACGTGAAGGCCAAAATTTCCAAAAATACTGGCATCATAAACAAATTAAGATATTACCTTGATTTAAATACGCTTAAGCAACTCTACTATACCTTAATTTACCGTTTTATAAACTATGGACTAATGAGCTGGGCCAATACTTATACTTCTCATTTAACCAAGCTCTGCACAGCTCTCAACAAATGTATTAGAAGCATATTTTTTGCTCACAAAAGAGAGGATGCCAATCCTTACTATAGCCTTTTGGGAATCCTAAAATTAGATAATGTCTTCAAGCTTAAAATAGCTAATTTAACTTACAAAATTTTAAATGAACCAAGTAATGTACCTAATATATTTTCTACATATGTAACGTCAGCTTCCGCGTCGCACACCTATAATACGAGGTTTGCTTCAAAAGAAAATTTTAGCAGACCAAAAGTAAGAACTAATTATGGAAAATTTACATTTCAATTCGCTTCATCTAAAATATGGGAATGATCAGTAGATTATACAATAAAAAAATCTAGCTCGTCCTATCTGTTTAAGAAACACTATAAGCAATCGCTCCTATTAACTCAAATGTAATTATAGAGTATATACAGTTGTGAATTCGTTCTAGCGCCGCTCCTTTCTTATTAGTAGCAAATCGTAGGCAGTGGACAACTCGAAAGCACTATGCTACTTTGTCCACTGCGCACGACATAATGAATTATTAACTCCAATTTATATCTACTACTCACTATATCCTTATTACTCTTCACTTTTGTAAATAATCTATATGACGTGCGCAACTTCAATAAAATTGTAAATTGATGATCTTTCTTTGTTTCTTCTTCAAAAAAGGTTTTGCTGTAAATAATTATGTAACAGTGATAATTTTAAATATGGAAGTCGCAAGCTGTGGCAACGTCTCTGCCAGCATCCTTTTGGTGGCTCAAACGAAGAATAAATATTTTTATTTCAGGAGCAGCTGTAAGCTAATTACTCTTTCTCACTAGCTCTTCTGTGAAATTTACTTTTTCGCAGGGATCTTGACACTTGTCATGCTTCCATTCAATCTCTCCTTTCAAAGGTCAAATTATTTTAATAAACTTATCGAAGTTGAAGATTTCGCTGACTTTCATTATATATATAATGACCAGAATGTGAAAATTTTTCACCACTCGAAATCTCCTTTTGTACAAATACAACAAACCCATTTGACCCTGGAAAAATCACGTCATTTATGGCAATAAAATGCACCCTGATGTGCTCTACCTAGTGCATTATTACTTTACCCTGTCTAACACCCAACAACTTCACTTGTCAATGGGAGAGTGTTACGGCCACTCATTGGGTTAATCAGAGTATCATGCATCTATGTATCATATCTGCCCATGCATCCTGTTGACCCTTTAAGTGGCAAAGCACCTTATCTAGCTACCACATTTTATTACTTTACTGTGCAATGCCAGTCAATTTACCAATGCTGGGTTAACCCATTGGGCAGTGTTGCCCTTGACGAATAAAATTGTCAGTTGTTGGAGAGTCAGAGGAAAAATAATGTAGGTTATATAAGTGTACATCAGGGCGCAATGCAAGTTAATGGGTTAAAAAAAGTCGAATTGACTATAATACATAATTCCCACCTGGGGGCTGGTACGTGTCACAGCGGATTTGGACCCCCTGGAAGATTTGGACCCCGGGTCTAAATTTCCTAGTAAATATGGACCCCCTTAGCTTTAGCAGATTTGGACAATTTCTATTGCTTTTGTTAAAAACCACTCGTTATTGACAATTAAGACCAGGGGCGGCGGAACAGGGGGCTAGGGGGGCTAAAGCCCCCCCAGAAGTAAAAGTGGGGGGGGCTTAGCTCACGGAAAAAAAAATTAGCCCCCCCAAAATGAAATCTGTTCCGCCGCCACTGATTAAGACTATTGAATTTGGTTTATATTAATGTATTCACATTACATATATTAACTTTTGAAGGGGGTCCAAATCCGCCAACGGGGGTCCATATTTACTAGTAGAATTGGACCTCCGAGGTGTCCATATCCACTAGGAGATTTGGACCCGGGGGTCAAAATCTACAGGGGTCCAAATCAACTGGGACACCGGTTGTTCAAAATATGGCAATTAGCTTAACCCAAGTCTGACAACTTGTTCATAATTTAGGAAATATTTCTTCACACATATTGTCTGGATCAGTAGGAGGTTTCTTCTCTGATGTTTTGAAATAAACGTGCAGAAATACACAAACTATAAAAACAGCAGGGTGCATATACTTTATCGTATCAATCATGCTTTAATAGTGGAACTACTGAACTACAGTATAATACCAATATCATAAAAGACATAAAAGCTCCAAGCAATGGAGATATGACAAAAACATTAAAAACCTAAAAGGTTTGGATTTGCATTGTCAAAATATATATTAAATATTTCAACTGTCAAAGACTCAAAGAGAATAAATTAATTCTTACCAATTGCCCGAACCAACAAGACAAATTCTTCTTGGCTGCTCGCTCATGTTTGAAAGGTATGAAACTTCCTGAGCAAATTGGCAAGGTCTTGCAGAACTAAGAAGAAAGCTGGGTCGAAAACGTGTGCATATGAACCGCAAAAATCCATTCATCACCCACTTTCGTTCTGCTTTTGCAGTTCTGCATTCCTGCAATCTGCATTAATTTGTTTTTGTGAGGACGAATGGGAAGTACTTCATATTACATTGATATATTGGAAATAATGGGGACGGACCATGGGACGACTAGCGGCTAAATCGAGGAATGCACATTTGCCCAACGCCATCTTGAATTCCGCGCAATGACCTGGGTCTCAGTTATGATGTCATAGTACCTATCATGAATGATGTAATCAAAACAAACGTATTCGCGGGAAAATGAAAATATTGGATTCTGATTGGATAATTGTCGCTCGCACATGCCTAAATACTA